ATTGCCAAATTGTATTTTTCCAACTCAAGGCTGTTTTACATATTCCGTTTTGAGTTAGCTATGACTGTATTAGACAAACTGAATGACTCTATATTATCGCGAGGTTCATTGCTTACTATAAATTCATTTTTCAATCGACGTTTTCCTCGACTTCGCCGTCTTGGTTGCTTCAACTCTCTAGAGTTTCTGTCAGAACTTTCCCCGTATTATTTCCATAAACAACTTTGGATTCAAGGCAAAATCACTATTACTCGGTTCGGTTTAGCAGGGGAGAGGGGGAGGGAGGGGTGGGGGAGACTGCGCTCAAGGACCTTTTTGACGATAAATCGGCCATTTTGAAGTCTATTGTTTCAAATAGCTATTATGGGATGCCCAGGGAGCAAATTAACATCCCATAATAGTTATTTGAAACAATAAACTTCAAAATGGCCGATTTATCACCTAAAAAGCCTATTGTTTACGATTGCACGACACCGGTATCAACGTATTTCCAAGTTTGATTTTCTTTGCCATAGGGATATATGAGTAGCCCAGCGCACACATGCGGAAAAGGGATAAGTTGTCACACTAGGAAGAATATGAAAAGAGTTTGAGTCAATAAAGGACGACAAATGCGAGGGAGATAACTTGTCTTAATAGCTAAAGCTGTTTATTTCAATTTTCGCATTGATGTGAAGTATATATGAAATAATTCATATTTGAACTGCGGTTGTAGATATAAACAGTCAAGAATGATCATCGCAGTAAATTTCCAATTTACACAATTGGAAAGAAGAAGCCTGAAAAAATTAGGGCTGGAAACATGGAAATTTATTTTCATATCGATCACACAAGGAAGACTTGAGTTACAGAGAATCTAAATTTGCGGAATGAATAACAAAAGTACGGAAATTGCGCGATTTCTGAGAAAAAAAATAGTCATAGTCAACATTGACATGGTAGTGTTAGGTCAGTGTTGCTGTGCGAAGAACATCGTTGCGTGTTTGTGGAATTCTTTCATGAATTAGACGAGATGTTATGAAGAAGGAGCGATATCTATCTAAACAGCACTATAATCCTGTAATACATCAGTGGTGTAGAGAAACAAAGATTCAAGTTGTGATGCTACCACTCAAGGTCACAAGGCAAACCAGAGAAAGTCATTTCAAGCTGCTAAGCAAGAAATTGTGAGAAAATGGCAAGCTCTTGGTAGATGAGACCAGAAAAAGCTCCGAAAACTTTCCCAAAGGCAAAACAGCAGTGTCTGAGGTTCTCGGCTGATCACGCTTTAACACAGCAGTATCTTATGCAATTGTGGATTGTGCGTCTATATCCTCGAAAACCAAACAGTTCCCGTTGGAGCAGGTATGAAAAACTAATCGTAACTCAATGGCCGTTTTTATACTAAAGACTTATTATCCGTCTGGACGAACTTGGGCAAGCATTTGTAGTTCGTCTGGTTATGCGTCTCTGGTATAAGGACGGGCACGAGACGTATTATGCGTCTAGACGAACTATACTTCGAAATTCGTCTTGAACGACGAACTAGGAGAATAGTTCGTCAAGACGCATAATATGTCTTGTGCCCGTCTTTATACTAAAGACGCATAACTAGACGAACAACAAATGCTTGCCCAAGTTCGTCCAGACAGATAATTCCTCTTTAGTATAAAAACGGCGAGGACGGATAATGCGTCCTCTAGTATAAAAACGGCCATTGTCTGGATTTTCTGGCCTATATAAAAGGGTTTTTATTCGGTAACAATACGTAAAGAAATCTAAGAAAGAGAGAAATTTATTGAAAACAATATTATTTACTTTTCGTGACCAGAGGCTACACGCGATTCCCAAAACATTTGCGGGGCTTTGACGCTGGAAAACAGTTCTGATGTCTGATTATTGCGTACTGATATAGGTAACTATTGGTTTGTATTGAAAAAAAACGATATCACAAGTTTTTCCTTTTTTTATACGAGTCACAGGTATCGCAACCGAAGACTGCACTATGATCGGTTTCATAAATATGAATATCTATCCTACTTATGCTGGGTTTTAACCGCAAATTCAGAACTGCGA